AATATGTTGTAGTGAAGATGAGCTATCCAGTCAGCATTATTAAAGGAAACTTTGGTGCAATCTCAGGTTTGATAGAAAATGCTCCATTTAATATATTATGTCAAACATCTTGTGTTTAGTATTTTTTAGGAGAATTTTATGGAAGTTGTTGTCTTCCTAGATAGAGATGGCAGAATGTATGCGAAAACGAGGGTAGAATTTTAATTGGTATTGTTAACATAATGACAACGGAGAAAGAGATTTGAAGACAAATTTGCTTTGGAAAAGAGATAAATATTTGCATATTGTTGGAGATATCTATATGCGTAAAGCACTTTGAGTCAATATGTTTGTAGTGTTTTTCGTTGCCGTAGCCTCATTTTTTCATCATTCCGCAATTTCTCTCTTGCAATCCATTGTTTAAGATGACACCACGATGAGAGTACTGTTTTCATATTCTAATTGCTGTAAATTGAACGTAGACCTTTGCATGATTGTAGAATCTATTCTTGTTATTTAAGTGAACCGTAAAAGAAAATCCTTTTGCCACATTAAGGAGAGAAGTCTAGCACGATTTCGCTGTATAACATTCTGGTGGCATATAGTACTATCTGATTCTTATGCAGCAGTATCAAGCTGTCTTATCATGTCTTTCGCCAAAAAAGTATTTTTTCCTAATGGAACTGTAAAAGTCGCAAAACCGTTACAAGTTCTAGGAAAGATCAAGTGTTTAGCAGGGACCTTGAATAACACTTACCTTACTCATTTCCAAAAAGTTTTAACACGGCATTTAGAGTTAAGGATTATAACTTCAGTTTTTGCAAAGTTGGAAGAACCTTAATGTTTGGCAAGCTATTATTATTGCTCATACCATATTGCTACAAAATTTTGATCGTTTACAATAGGTCCTGACCTTTAGTTTCCAGCCACAATTTCGTGAAAAGTGAACAAGATGGAAAGATTTCAAAATGTCAACGCATTACGTTATTGTGCAAATAAAAGTCGAATTACGATCAGCCCGACGCAAGCACTATCTATGCCTGACGCGCCTAAAAATCGTGTAGAACGAGCTCAGTATCACAACGGGAGTACAAGTGTGTCTCTATTTAAGCATGCAAAGATTCACGATTGTTTTATGCTCTCAAAAATAATTTCAATAGAGGAATGGAACGCAAAAACTATGAAGTAATGACACATGTATCTTATCACAAACTTTATCGTCAACATTTAGTACTCCTCTACCTAGTCGGCGCGTAATAAGGAACGATAAGATAGAGGTATGGTTCCATTAAATTTTTGACCAAGTAATTTACAGAGATACTATTATGAAACATATCCTAATGGTTTGAGTGACATGCCTCATATATCAATTTCCAAGTTCTTTGAAATGAAAAGGTAATGTTATATCTAAAAGAGAAGCAGAGGATCTTTAAATGTCCAATATCGGCTTCATAATGCTCCCACTTGAAGCACTTATAGGTCACCTTTCTATAAAACGTAATTTGGTTAACATCTAGCGATAACCACATGAGTTTTCATCATATTTTACAGCCTCTGACGTGAATTTCGCTTTTGGTATAATAGTACGTAGGTTCTAACTGTGTATGATCCTGCAGTGCAGTGCAACTTTTGCCATATTCTTGATTTATGAAGAAAGAAATTGAGATGGATCTAGCATTAGTTATTGGCCTCATAATTGCTCTTAATTGAATCTCTTGTAGCAATTTAGCTTAAAATATTCATAGGTTAAGCTCCACAAATTATAAACCGTAGCAAAACAAAAAGAGACTCGACTGTCTTTTGCTTCTAATAAAGGAAAGTACATGACATACGCTATTCTCCGTAAGTAATTTTTGAATTAGTGAAATTAAGCAACATCGCCTGACAGTTTTCTTTACTGTATTGAAACAGCAGCCTTTTCGCGAAAACGAGAGATATGTAGTGACCTTTTGTCTCGTGAAACCAAGAGACAGTTGACACACCCTTCATTCAATAAAAGTGATCTGCCAACTGCTGATTTTTACTAAAATAATTTAATATCTGTCATTGCCTGTAATTTGACTGTCGC